TCATAAGTTTTCAGATAGTGCTTGAGATCATCACTAATGAAACAGCAAGGGCTTCAGATCTGTTAACCCAGCAATCTGGAAAAATGACAAATGCTATCTATCAGAATAGATTAGCTTTAGACTACCTCCTAGCCCAGGAAGGAGGAGGATGTGGAAAGTTCAATGTAACTAATTGCTGCCCAGAAATCAATGACCGTGGAAAGGCAATTCTAGAAATAACTGCAAGAATGAGAAAATTAGCCCATGTTCCAGTTCAAACTTGGAAAGGGTGGTCTCCAGATTTTTCCTTTGGAGATTGGTTTTCATTTTTCGGAGGGTTCAAGACTTTAATAGGAGTAGTTCTGGCTGTAGTAGGAAGTTGCCTAATACTCCCCCATCTCTCACCTCTCCTTGTTAGAAGCATTCAATCAACTATAGAGGCAATAGTAGCTAGGCAAATTACCACTCAGCTAATGGCTCTGTGTAAAAATCAACCTTTGCCCAAAGAATAAAACTTGTCTGTTCATGCAGAATTAAGTAACAGTGAGGCCTTCTATTAAACTTATTTTACAAAAGTCCTCAAAGGGGGAAAAATGTAGTAAGGGTTAAATAGAAAAAGAAACAAGTTTTCCTCTGCTTAGCAGCTCACTTCAAAGACAGTTATAAGAAAACACTGTCCAAAAAGCCAAGGCCAAAGGAATGGGCTCCAGACAGCCCCCCACCTCCAGAGCAAGGTTGAGGAAAAAAAGAGAGAGAAATTCCTTTACTGTTACTCCTTTCCCTGGCCTCTTAATTAAGCATGACTATGTTTTACAAATGTCTGTATTTAGCCAGTTCTTGTTTTTCTTTTGATGCAGCTACAAGGCCACCAGCTAGGCAAGGCCACAAGTTATGCATTCTATGATTGACTGCCTTTTTTTGCTTTTGTAAGCCTGCTTATAAAAACTCCACTGTCTTTGTTCAAGGCTCAGGATTTTTGGATGTGAATCCACTGAGCTGGTGCATACCTTAAAATTAATATCCTCCTCTATTGCCCTGTACTGGTCTCTCTAGTCCTCTGCATCCTGCAACATTACAGCAGAAAAAATTCCATTGTCTGGATGTACTGTATCCATGAACCTGCTGAAGGACATCTTGGTTACCTCCAGGTTGTGGCAATTACGGATAAAGCTGCTATAAACATCTGCTATGTTGACCAAAAACCCAAACTGTAAAGTATTTGAAGAGATTTTTTCTGAGACAAATATGATTGACTATCACAAGAGGCATGGTCTCAAGAGTTCCTGAGAACGTGTGCCCAAGGCAGTTGAGTTCCAGCTTGGTTTTATACGTTTCGGGGGGACATAAGACATAAATCAGTAATGTGAGAGAGTTTGGGATGGCTTACAAAGCATAGGTGAATTCAAAGATTTTCTGATTAGCAATTGGTTGAAAGAGTTATTATCAAAAACCCTGGAATCAACAGAAAGGAGGGTCTTGGTTAGGTTAAAAGGTTGTGAAGATCAAGGTTCTTTTTTTTTTTTTTTTTTGAGACAGAGTTTTGCTCTTGTTGCTCGGGCTGAAGTGCAATGACGTGATCTATGCTCACTGCAACCTCTGCCTCCCAGGTTCAAGCAATTCTCCTACCTCCACCCTCTGAATAGCTAGGGTTACAGGCATGCGCCACCACACCCAGCTAAACTTTTGTATTTTTAGTAGAGATGGGGTTTCTCCATGTTGGTCAGGCTGGTCTCAAACTCCCGACCTCAGGAATCTGCCCACCTCGGCCTCCCAAAGTGCTGGGATTAGAGGCGTGAGTCACCGTGCCTGGCCCAAGGTTCTTGTTATGTAGATGAAGTCCCATAGATGGCTTCCCTTAGGGACAATAGATGGCTAATGTTTCTTACTCAGTCCTCTAAAAGGCGCTGGACTCTTCAGAAACAGCCTGGAAAGGGAAGGAGATTCTCTACACGATGCAGATTTCCTCCACAAGAGACAGCTGTGCAGGGCCATTCCAAAATATGTCAAAGAAATACATTTTTGGGTAAAATATTTCAATGTCTTTCATGGCCTGCTGTCATGTGATGCTATACTACATCAGGTTGGAATTTGATCTTATTTCTAGAGTCTGTTCTGTCAGTCTTAAGATCTCTGTTTTAAAGCTGGTCAGCTGTGCCTGAATTCCAAAGGGAAGAGAGAATGAGGCATGTCCCACCCCTACTGCCCATCATGGCCTGAACCTTCAGGTTCCTTTGGGTCCCCCTGGCCGAGAGGGCGTTTCACCCAGTCAGTTGTGGGGCTTGGAATTTTATTTTTGGTTTACAGCTATAAACATCTGTTTGGAGGTTGGGTAAATCCTAAGGAATGAGAATGCTGGATCACATGGTAGAAGTAGGCTTTATTTTTCGGGAAACTGCCAAACTGTCTTCCCAAGTGGCTGTACCATTTGTTATTCCCAACAGCAATGAATGAGAGTTCTGGTTTCTCCACGTCCTCATCAGCATTTGGTGTTTGGCCAATTTTCTGGATTTTGGCCATTCTTACAGGCATCCAGTAGTAGCTCACTGATTAAATTTGCACTTTCCTGACAACATATGATGTGCATATCTTTGTTTTTTTTTTTTTTTTTTCGGGAGCGGGGACGGAGTCTCACTCTGTCACCCAGGCTGGAGTGCAGTGGCACAATCTCGGCTCACTGCAAGCTCCGCCTCCTGGGTTCACGCCATTCTCCTGCCTCAGCCTCCCGAGTAGCTGGGACTACAGGCGCCCGCCACCACGCCTGGCTAATTTTTTGTATTTTTAGTAGAGACGGTGTTTCACCATGTTAGCCAGGGTGGTCTCGATCTCCTGACCTCGTGATCCGCCTGCCTCGGCCTCCCAAAGTGCTGGGATTATAGGCGTGAGCCACTGCGCCCGGCTGATGTGCATATCTTTAAAAAAAAAATACAAATGGGTCTTGCTATGTTGTCCAGGCTGGTCTTGAATTAACTAGGCTCAAGAGATCCTCCTGCCTCGGCCTCTGAACGTGATGGGATTATCCTCCTGCCTCGGCCTCCGAACGTGATGGGATTCCAGGCGTGAGCCACTGCACCCAACCTAGGTTATGTTTTCAGATGCTTAGTTGCCACCCATATAGCTTCTCTGGTGAGGTGTCTGCCTTTGACCCGTTGTGGAATCAGGTTATTTTCTTATTTACTGAGTGCTAAGAGCTCTAGGTATATTTTGGATAACAGTGCTTTATCAGATGTCTTTTGCTAATGTTTTCCCAGTCTGTGGCTTGTCTTTTGTTTTCTTAACAGTGTCTTTGCAGAGCAGACATTTTTAATTTTAATGGAGTCCAGGTTACATCACACAAGGCAGAACTGCAAATCCAACACAGGTCCCAACCAATGCTGACGCTCCCCAGCTGTGTGGCCTGGGCCCGTGCCTGCCTCTCTGAATTTCACATTTCCCCATCAATTCCTTCACTCAGCAAAACTATGGATGACAAGTGCATGGCACAACCAATATTAGGGTCTACAGTTATTGTCTACAGGTTGGTCTAAAAGGAACACTTCAACTTTGTTTTCAGGCAGAGAAACATTCATTTAAAAGTCCTAGTTAGGGGCTGAGCATGGTGGTTCATGCCTGTAATCCCAGCACTTTGGGAGGCTGAGGCGGGCAGATCACCTGAGGTCAGGAGTTCAAGACCAGCCTGGCCAAAATGGTGAAACCCCGTCTCTACTAAAAGTCCAAAAAAATTAGCCGAGCGTAGTGGTGCATGCTTGTAGTCCCAGCTACTTAGGAATCTGAGGCAGGAGAATCGCTTGACCCCAGGAGGCAGAGGTTGCAGTGAGCTAAGATCAGGCCACTGGACCCCAGCCTGGGTGATAAGAGTGAAACTCTGTCTCAAAAAAAAAAAAAAGTCATAGGTCAGTTTCTACATCTGCATATTAAAAAAACCCCAAAGTTCCAACTAACTGTGTATCGGTAGATGGCCTAACCATAGTGTTACTCAAACGACCTGGAGGCACAATTGTTTATTCTGTGGGAGAATTTAAGGAGAATGAGCAAATCGATCTTAAATGATCCTTAGTAGTCTTAATATTTTATCATATATTACTTTATATAATTTATAATTTATTTAAATTCATGCACTTTAAATATAACTTATATGATTTACTGCAATATCTTATATTTCAAAACTAGCATATGTATGTTATAGGGAAAAGAACATAAACGATCCTGGTGCTGTCTGGAACCCAGACTTTCAGCATAGGTAGAAAAAGAAACAGTTGTAAAATCAGAGAAGTAAAACCTGACAATCTTACAACTGGGAAATGCCTGCATGAATTCATACTTTTATTATTATTATTATTATTATTATTATTTGAGATCGTGTCTTGCCCTGTCACCCAGGCTGGAGTGCAGTGGTGCGATCTCGGCTCACGGCAACCTCCGCCTCCCGAGCTCAAGCGATTCTTCTCCCTCAGCTGGGACCTCAGGTGCGCGCCACCACACCTGGCTAATTTTTTGTATTTTTAGTAGAGATGGAGTTTCACCATGTTGGCCAGGCTAGTTTCGAACTCCTGACCTCAAGTGATCCTCCTGCCTCGGCCTCCCAAAGTGCTAGGAATACAGGCATGAGCCACTGTGCCCGGCCTCATACTTTATTTTTTTTTTATTGGTTAAAAAATATACTTATTTCCTGGCTCTGTCTCTTCCAAAGCCCTAGCGGTAAAGAAATCCCAGGAGCAAGCACCACCCCTGGTGACCAGATTGGGGTCTCTAAACAGCATGTTCACACTGACGAAGGAGTGCGCCCTGGGGAAATGGTTGGCCCGGGTCCATGGCAGGAAATGCCAGGGAGGGGCTGGAGTCTGCAGCATCATGGTGGCTGTAAGTAAAGAAGGTGCCCAAGAACCAAGGGTTGTGTCAAAGGACTACAGAGACCAACCTGAGGCCACCTCTGGCCAAAGACAGACGAGCTGGGCATGAAAAAGCAAGCCTGCAATTGACAGGCAGATCCCGCAGCTTAGCCTTGGGAGCAAAGAAAGACTCCAGACAGGGAAATGAGGTTTTATTCAGGAAGAGCTAAAGACAGGAGGGGAGCCCCTGGGGTCCCACCCTTGCGGCCTCTTAAGACTAAGGCTCATGGGATGCTAGAAACTAATGACTACAGGCATCTGAGCCCCCTTGGAGTCCTCTGTAGGGGGCACAGGGGCGGCCTCAGAGTCACCCGAGGGGTGTACAGGGGTGGCCTCAGAGTCCCCCGTGGGGGGCACGGGGGTGGCCTCAGAGTCACCCGTTGGGGGCACGGGGGTGGCCTCGGAGTCACCTGTGGGGGGCACGGGGGTGGCCTCAGAGTCACCTGTGGGTGGCACAGGAGTGGCCTCGGAGTCACCTGTAGGGGGCACGGGGGTGGCCTCGGAGTCACCTGTGGGCGGCACAGGGGTGGCCTCGGAGTCACCTGTGGGGGGCACGGGGGTGGCCTCCTGGTCGGTCACTGTGGGCAGCGCCACATAGGTGAGGGTCCAGTAGCGCAGGAAGTTGGTTCTCAGGCCCCGCTTCACGGAGCTGCCATCCATCTTCTTGGTGATCTCCAGGTAGCTGCCGTTTTCCGAGGTGTAGGGTTCCCACTGTGTGGGCACAGCCGAGTGGCCCATGTTGGGGTCCCTGCAGAGTGAGAAGAGGCTGTCCAGGGGCTGGGGACTCCCAGGGGGCTGAAGGCCTGCTCTGCACCCGCACGCCTGAGCCATCCCCGTCCTCTGAGCTGTCCCTGGGCACCGTGGCCCCTCACCGCATACAGGACACAGGCTGTACACGTGCGCGGGCTTGGGGCTCTGCCAGTAGCTCTTATCCTCATAAACACACATGGATTCCGATGCAGGGGAGGATAAGTGACTTGCCCAAAGTCCCTCCGCTGGCAAGTGAGGGAACAGGGCCTCGTGCTGCGGCCCTCCGCCCTGCTCTCAACCCAAGCCTTACCCTGTTTTGGCAAAGTTGGTCCAGTAGGCGATCATGGCCTTGGAGACTGTCCTGTCTTGGGGCCGGTAGCCGCTGGGGGTGGCGAAGGGCTTCCCGAAAACGTACTGGATGTCATCTGCATGGTCTGCCCCCATCCATTTGGGGTAGACGGGCATCCGAGAGGGATGGGAAAACAGGTAGCTGTAGGTCTTGGCACTCCTGGAGGGGAGAGACCACCCAAGTAGGCAGGGTGCTCACCGGGGACCACCCAGCCCACAGACTGGCCCTGGAGGGAGGTCCCGGGCAGCGGGCAGGGAAGGGTCTGAGGGATTCACATGAAGAGATGGAGCTTCTCAGACCCAGGAGAGGGAAAGCTGAGAACCAAATTCATGGATTCATGGGTTCTGCCATTTCTGTTGAATTTATACTTCACCTCCACAAAACACTGTGAGGCAGCTTCCTTCTAGAATTCAGTATCAAGAAATATTTTGCTCTCCAAGTGCATGTGCATTCTTCAATTAGATTGGACAAGGTATAGGCCCTCAACTGTTTCCCTTTTTGCCTTCAGTGAAAAGAGGCTCACAGCTAAATGTATTGCTTAGTTGCTGCAAAGCTTTCATCCTAGACTTCTCGGTATCCTTTTATCTTCCTATCTTTTTCGTATTCCTAACTGATTTTTTATTTTTATTATTTATCTACTCATTTATTGGAGACACAGTCCCACCCTGTTGCCCCTGCTGGAGTGCAGTGGCGTAATCTCGGCTCACTGCAACCTCCACCTCCCTGGGTCAATCAATTCTCCTGCCTCAGCCTCCTGAGTAGGTGGGATTATAGGTGCGCACCACCACGCCTGGCTGATTTTTGTATTTTTAGTAGAGATGGGGTTTTGCCATGTTGGCCAGGCCGGTCTCCAACTCCTGACCTCAAGTGATCCTCCCACCTTGACCTCCCAAAGTGCTGGGATTACAGGAGTGAGCTACTGTGTCTGGCCTTATTTTGTATTATAATTGGCTATTATTACATGAAGATTTTTAATCTGGCTGTGGGCTGAAACTGTTTTGTAATTGGCAAAGTTGAGGCCCATAAGAGTCAGTGGATAGAAACCATTGTCCAGTGTCGTCTCAATGCACAGTGTGGGGGATGGAAGGTAGCTCAAGAACTCTCCAGTGGGAAGGACCATGGGGTGCAGGGCTGAGCAGGGCAGAGGATCGTGGGGTTCGTAAACCCCTATAGGCTGGGAGGGAAAAACAGGCCCTCAAGTCTTGCCAGGCCTCAGCAAAGTGGATGAGGCAGGCACAGGTGGGGACTCAAGCACCACTTTCCCAGTCAACCCAGACACCTGAGAGCCACTCACAGCGAGGCCTCGGCCGGCAGGTGCAGCACCCCAGGAAGGCCCCCAGGAGCCACCCCCTGCCCAGATCCTCACTTGGCGTTGGCTCTGTGCTGGGCCAGGGCAATCTCGGTGGGCACCAGGAAGAGGATATCGGTCTCAAAGTCCACCACAGTCTTCTTCTTGTTCTCCTGGGATGGGTCCTGGGCCCAGGACTCAGTGTAGACATCAAAGGTAGTCTTGGCACCTCTGAGCCCCTTGGTCATTGTGAGCCCACTGACCAGCTTGTAGAAGTCCTCCCTGCGGGGACCAAGTAGGCACTGACACTCCCCCTGTGCATACCCACCCTGACCGGTGCTAACTTCCTCACTCCCAGTCCTCCACTCAGTGTCTTCCTCCTCCAGGCTGGCCCCCTCACCAGTGCCTTCCCGGCCGCCCTCCAGCACGGGTCGCCCCTGGGTCCTGTGTCCCCTGCTTACTCCGTGACTTCCTTGTTGTTCTTGTTGATGGCAGGCATGTCGATGCTGGCGAACAAGTGGCCGTCCATGTTGTTGATGCCTGCTATATAGTCGATGTCGGCGGCATTGGCGTATAGGTTGATGGGGTCATCGGGGATGAAGTCTCCATCAATGACAGGGATGAAGCCCAGATAGTACAGCATGGGGTCTGGGTGGGAGAGCCAGGAGGTTCTTGTACCTTCCAGTGTCCCCTGAGCCACCCCTTGCCTCTCAGGGCTGGAGTTGGCTATTTCCTCCCTTCTCTGATCTAAGGACACTTGGGGCCGGGTTGATTCTGCACCATCGGGGCATCCTGTGCCCTGTAGAATGTTTACAGCATCCCCGGCCTCAACCCACAAGGTGCCAGGAGCACCCCCTCCCCAGCCGTGACAATCACAAATGTCTCCAGGCCCTGCCACACGTCCCCAGGCTGACAGCCCCTGTCTAGGGCCAGATCTGTCCTCTTCAGCGGCAGCCCCTCCCTCTCCTCTCTCTCTTTGCTGGGCCTGAATCAGGAAGGAGGAAACTTAGAAGCCGCTGAGGGAACTGATGGAGAAGGAGCTCCCTCTCTCAGGGCTGGGTTCCACTCCAATAGCCAAAAATGGTGTGAGGTCTGCATTGCCCTCCAGACCCCCGGACAGGCCCCTAGAGGACCCTGCGACTGCTGAGGCAGGCAGGGCCCGGCTGTCACTGGGCCCAGCACAGTGGGCTTTGCCTCCAGCAGGCCCGCGTGGCTTGCTTTGTTTGGGCGTGTCCAGCCTGTGCAGTTGAGCTCATGTCAGGTAAACATGCAGATGACTTGGCTTCATGGCACGTTGCCATAGAAGAATGTGCAAGGGAGAGCGTTAGCCTAGCAAGCTGGTGTGGCGGCCATGCACAGCTGTTTGTGGAAGGGGTCCCCAGGCCTTCCCGGGGTACAGAATAGTGGAGCTGGAAGCCCCAGTGCTGCAGTTCACTAAATGTTTGCTGAATGAATGAATGAATGAACGAACTGTCATCTAGCACAAAGGCTCTTGGTCTGGGGTCTATGGATCTCCCTAAAATTGTATGCAAATGACTGTATGCGAATGCATGAGGTGGGGGAGGGGCCCCAAATGTTCATCAGCTTCTCAAAGGGGGAGTCTGTAACTCATGGGAGATAAGAAGAAAGAAGGGGCCGAGCACGGTGGCTCACACCTGTAATCTCAGCACTTTGGGAGGCCAAGGCGGGTGGATCACGAGGTCAGGAGATCGAGACCATCCTGGCTAACATGGTAAAACCCTGTCTCTGCTAAAAATACAAAAATTGTTCGGCATGGTGGCTCACACCTGTAATCCCAGCACTTTGGGAGGCCAAGGCGGGCAGATCACGAGGTCCCAAGAGCGAGACCATCCTAGCTAACACGGTGAAACTCCATCCCTACTAAACATACAACAAAAAGAGCTGGGCATGGTGGCATGTGCCTGTAGTCCCAGCTACACGGGACGCTGAGTCAGGAGAATCACTTGAACCCAGGAGGCAGAGGTTGCAGTGAGCTGAGATCCTGACACTGCACTTCAGTCTGGGCAACAGTGAGACTCCATCTCAAAAAAACAAAAAAAAACAAAAAAAAAACAATGGCTCCCCTTCTCCCTTACAGCTGGGGCCTTTGAGGGGAGTCACCAGTTTGATGGCAACAGGACCAGACCACAGCTCCAGCACCTTCTTCTCTTCCCCAGAGTACTTCCTGGCAGTACCCCCACAACCCCCACCTCGAGACCCCATGCGCCAACCCGAGCAGCTACTCACACTCCATGCCTGCCAGCGGCATCTTATAGGCCAGCGTCAGGGCTCGGGGGTCAGTAACCTTCAGACACTTGGCCATCCTGGCGGTATCGTCCACAGGGCAACCCACCTTCTCAGCCACCTGAGGGCAGGAGCAAGGCCGGCAGGTAGGTGAGGCCAGTGCTCAGGGCTCCGAACCATTGGAAGGCAAGGACAGGGTCCAAGACAAAGAATGGAAATGAGGACGGCCCCCACCTGGGTATCAATTCCACCCCCACGCTGCCCAGCCCTCCTCCGTTTACCTTTTTGGCCCAGAAGAGTGGGTTTTTCTGGATGACCCAGGGGCTCAGGGCCACGCCGCTCTGGCTGATGGCTCGCTGGATGAGGCCCTTGTTGTAGGGGGAGAGGGTCTACGACAGCCAGAGATCCTGTCACCAAGGCCGCTCCCCACTTCACCCACCCCAGGCTGGGCCGAGGACACCCCAGAACCACAGCCCCAGCTCCATGCTCCTCCTCCCACCTCCCCTTCCCGTTTGAGCTTCCTCCCAATCTGTGGGGCAGGCCCTCCCCACGGGGATCCCCAGACCTGCAGAGAGACACTGGCACCTCCAGCAGACTCCCCAAAGAGTGTGAGGTTGTTGGGGTCCCCCCCGAAGGCCGCGATATTCCTCTTCACCCAAGCAATGGCCATGTGCTGATCCCGAAGGCCATAGTTACCTGCGGGCAGGGCAGGGGAGAGGGTGCAAGAGATCAGTGACCCAGGCCTGGCCTCCAGGAGGGGAGACCAGTGTGGGTGGGGCAGAAATGCCCTCAACAGACCTGGGGCCACGGCAGAGCCCCGGTTGGCAAATGGTGGGTACCTGAGAAGCTGGGTCGGGTGGGGTGCTGGAGGGGGTGGGTCCCCAGGAGGTTGTGTCAGTGGGGTGCTGAGGGGGTAGTGTTTGTGGGGAGCAGGATGGTCAGGCCCATGCACCTCTCCTGCCCCTGCCCCAGTCCCTTGTGTCTGTGTCCTGCCACTTCTGTGTCCACAGCTGTCTCTGCCTCAAGGTGTCGTTTTCTCTCACTCGGCTCTGCTCTACGGGTTTCTCTCTCAGCTTCAGCCTGTTTGTCTGTCTGTCCCACAGCCTCTTTTATGTTTGAGATGGGGCCTCATTCTGTCGCCCAGTGGCACGACCACGGTTCACTGCAGCCTGCAATCCCTGGGCTCAAGCGATCTTTCCGCCTCTGCTTCCCAGGTAGCTGAGACCAGAGGCATGCGCTACCATGCCCGGCTAATTTGTTTTTTTTTTTTTGGTTTTTTTTTTTTTTTTTGAGATGGGGTTTTGCTCTTGTTACCCAGGCTGGAGTGCAGTGGCGCGATCTCAGATCACGGCAACCTCCACCTCCTGAGTTCAAGCTATTCTCCTGTCTCAGCCTCCCGAGTAGCTGGGATTACAGACAAGTGCCACCACACCCGGATAATTCTGTATTTTTAGTAGAGAAGAGGTTTCTCCATGTTAGTCAGGCTGGTTTCGAACACCCGACCTCATGTGATCCGCCCACCTTGGGCTCCCAACGTGCTGGGATTAGAGGATTGAGCCACTGCGCCTGGTCCCCAGCTAATTTTTTATATTTTTTGTAGAGATGGGGGTCTCCCTGTGATTACCAGGCTGGTCCTGAACTTCTGTGCGCAAGTGATCCACCTGTGTCAGCCTCCTAATGTGTTGGGATTATAGGCATGAGCCACCTCTCCTGGCCTCCGCAGCATCTTTAATTTTGCTATGGCTGCTGAGGGCCTCCTGCTTCTCGTGATTCTACTCCAGCTTCTGGGTCTTTCTGTGGATGGCTACTGGTTGTTTGGGGTGAGGGGCACTGAGGAGAATCTCCCTGCTGGACTCAGCAAGCTGGCCGCCCCACCTCAGGGCCGAAGAGGCCCACGCACCTGGCAGGTTGGCGTCCCCAGTGCTGAGGAACCCAAGGGGGCCGACACGGTAGTTGAAGGTGACCACGATGACGTTTCCGCGTGTGGCAATCTCCTCGCCGTCATACAAGTAGTTGCTGAGGAAGTTGGCCCCGTGGCCGGACCCCATGAGGAAGGCGCCTCCATAGATCCAGATCATAACGGGCAGGTCCCGGGAGACTGAGATGGGGAAGTGGCTGGTGACCCCAGACGCCCTGCCTAGCCCTCTCCCCAGCTGGTCCCCCGTCCCTGTGCAGCAGGTGCCTGGGGCCAAGACAGGGAGGCCCTCCAAGGCGTGGCCCTGCCCCAGGCTGGGGGACTGGCACGGGCGCTCCCCTCTCCCCTCTGCGGGATTGCATGGCAGTTCAGCTTTGCAGCCCCAGACTCAAGCCAGGAGCAGATCCGCGGCTCTGGCTGCATGGGAACTTCCCTTGGGGAGCAGGGGGCAGGCAGACCTTGCTTCCTGTCCTGGGGCACCCAGATGTTGAGGTACAGGCAGTCTTCATCCCCGTAGGTGCTGTCCTGGGTGATGGTGGCCTGCAGGCATCTCTTCTTGAAGGACTTGGCCTTCAGGGTCCCTGCGGGTGGCAGGAGGAGTTGGCATGAGGAAGGCAGTCGCCCTCACCAGCCCCACCGCAGGGCCAGTCTGGCACCACCCACTCCCACCTTGCCAGCCGGGGTGTGGCTGGGGGTTCTCCAGGGCCTTGGTGGGAGCCGCGAAGGGGATGCCCTTGAAGATGTCCACAGAGTCGCCCAGGAGGCCGAGCTTCTTATTGACGCCTTCCACGAACCCACCTTCCGTGTACACGGGGCCCAGCTGGGAGGGAGACACGGGCAGGGTCAGGCAGGCTCAGGCCCCATTGGCCTGAATCCAGAGCGGGCAAGGCAAGCCAACACTGGGTGCCCAGAGGCAAAGACAGCTTCGAAGCAGGACAGCTCTGCCCAGGAGACGCAGACAGCACCCTCTGCCCCGCACTGCTCAGGGCTTGAGGATTCCTCTTCCCCTCCTTATCCCTGGGGGTGTCCTGCTCCCAGAATCATAGAGGAAACCGGTTCGACCAGTGTTCCCACTAGGGAAGCCTGCCAAGAGGTGCGATGGAGGTTTGGGTTCAGGCTGTGGCCGCCCAGCTTTGACTCCGATCCTGTTTCCCCACGCCCATGTGGAGGATGAGCGACAGGCAGGAGCTCAGGCAGGAGCGTACCCAATGCTCAGTGTACCCGGGATGTTTCACACCAACTTTCCTCCTTCCTGAGGGGTGGGGTCTGCATTTCCCTCCTCCTGTCTCCCTGCACAGGGCCTAGCTGGCTGGGCACAAAGTCGATGTCCCCATACCCAAGTCCCCACAGCTCCTGTGCCCCCTGCTGGTAAAGAACCCCCCCCAGGGACCCCCCCACCCCCCACCACGCTTCCCTGTGCCATGAGAACTGCCTCTGTGCACCAAGCTGTCCATCCCCACGAGGGGCCTGGAGGTTGGTGCTCATCCACCCTCTGTCCCTGAGGGAACGGAGACTGGGCAGCTTTTGGGCTTGAAGTCACCCTGTTGAGAGGCAACTGTCTGCCCCAGAGCCACTTCCTGTCCATCTTGGGCAGCAGCTCCTCCTGCCTATGGTGCATGCTGGCAGCCGGTGGTTGCTTGCTGGCTCTCACCTGTGCCAGGCTCCAGGTGGGGAAGGGCAGGGTGGCCCTACACCCTCAGGTCCAGCTAGGGTCCCAGCAGCCCTCTGAAGTCTAGGCTGATGGGCCCCTGCCACACCGGGGTGGGAGAGTGGGGCGGTTGGAACGGGAGGGAAGGAGCCAGAAGCAACACTTGCAGACATCATGGGCAACCCCTGCGAGGCATCCGTGTCTCCTCGTGTCAGCTCCCCCCAGCCCCGCCCCACCTCTGGGAGGCGGTGTAGAGAAGTCACCTGGCAGAAGTGTCCCTGTGCAATTGAGACTGGCCTGAGGGCCTCAGGGTGGGGGAATGGGGAGGGGTCGTGCTGACCTGCCGAAGGCCTCTCAGCACCCCAAGAAGAGCTCGCCCAAGAAGAGGTTGACCTCTCCTTTGAGTGAGGAGCCCAGGATCACTGCCCAAACCTCCAGGTCCCAGGGCCAGAGAGTGTGGAGAGCAGGCAGTGGGGGTGGAGAGAGGAGACCCCAGGGCCTGAGAGAGCAGGCACGAGAACAGCGTGGTAGGCATCTGGGGTCCCCTGTGTGAGTCCTGCTGGGGGCAGGGACTGGGCCGGGCGCTGACACCGGCTTCCTGCGGGGCTTGGGGTTTCTGTGGCTTCCCCCTCACAGGCAGAGAGGGCGGATTTTATGGATGCTCGAGAGAGCTCCTGCCTGCCGGCTCTCCCTCTGAAGGGACCCGGACCCGGTGTGGAATAGCCCAGCTCTCAGGTTCCTGCTCAGGAGTAGGAGGTAGCAGCTGTGCGATGCTGGGCTGCCTGCCTGCCTCTCTCTGCCCCGACTGCCTGCTCTCCACACTCCCTGCCCCTGGCCTGCTTCCCCTTCTGTAAAACGGCAACAGTGTCCATCAGAGAGCTTGGTAGGTGGGATCACCAGGCTGAGCAAATGCAAATTCAAGAGGCCCAATGACATTTGCATTTCAGGTAAACAGCGAATTGTTTTTTTAGTATGTTTCATTTTTTTCTTTTTCTTTTATACTTTTGAGACAGAGTCTTGCTCCGTCACCCAGGCTGGAGTGCAGTGGCGTGATCTCAGCTCACTGCAACCTCCACCTCCCAGCTTGAAGCAATTCTCTTGCCTCAGCCTCCCAAGTAGCTGGCATTACAGGCACCCACCACCATGCGCAACTAACATTTTTATTTTTAGTAGAGATAGGGTTTCACCATGTTGGCCAGGCTGGTCTCCAACTCCTGACCTCAAGTGATCCACCCACCTGGGCCTCCCAAAGTGCTGGGTTTACAGGCGTGAGCCACTGCGCCCGGCCCATGTGTGTTTCAAATATTGCATGTGACATACCCAGCAGTTCTTGGCAGTTTATCGGAAATTCAAATGGAACTGGGCATCCTTCATTTTACCTGGCCCCTGTCCCCACAGAAATGAGGGTGAGTGCCCGGGAACTGCCCTGGGGCTGTGCTGGGCTCTCTTTCTCAGCCTGGCCCGAAGTTTCCAGATGTGAGTGAGGGGAGGAGAGCAGGACCTGCCCCTCTGCTGAGCTCTTACCTTCGCGGCACTGGCCACTGCCCAGCAGCAGGCGAGGCCCAAGACAACCAGTTGCAGGCGCCCCATGGTGTGCGTCAGCCTCTGGGTGGCCCTCCCGCTGGGCCTCGGGTATTTATGGAGCCGGAGCCAAGGTCACATGCCTGTTCATGAGGTCACAGACACCCCCTCCCCTCCACCCCTTCTGGTGCAGGGAGATCCAGTTTTCCCAAAACCCACGGTGCACCTGTGCAGGTTACTGCTTACCTGGGAGCAGAAGCAGGTGGCAAGGGGGGTGGCGGGGCCGGGCAGGGTGCACAGCGCTCTGCCTTCTGGTTTGTTCACAGGGCTTAGTGTCACTGTCAGAGAAAAGGGCATACTTTGTCTCCATGCACTGCCTGTCCCCTAGGTCCCCAAAGGAGCTTCACAGGGGACCAAGCACGTGAATTCTGGGGCAGAGAGGGCGGCATACTGCGGGCCCCCAACTCATGGGACTGACCTTATCTGTACGAGCTTTTCCTGGGGCCTGCGGACCGGGCAGTCCAAGCTGGGTGTGGGTCCCAGAGCAGCACAAGGCAGTCCCACTCAAGGGTGGGGAGATGTTACCATCCAGCCTGATGTGTCCTGGGAGGAAGGACTAGAGGCTCAGGGGAACATGGTGTGGGTGGGAGGGTTAGGGGGGCATCTAGCCCAACCTTGAGGGCTTCCCTGAGGAAAGAAAGGGCCCAGTCAAGGCCCCCAGGCACACCCAGGCAGAGTGACAGAAGGGGAGGGATAGAGGCCAGCAGGAGGGAAGGGATAAGGTCGTGTGAGGTCGTGGAGGAGGAGGAGGCCACTCGCATTTTCTGTGAACACCTGTTACTCCCAGTGCCAGGAAAGGCTATGACAAGTGAAAGAACACCATGAACAAAGTCTTCTGATCGGGCCTTTAAGCTCAGCCAGTGTGAGGTCACCCTCACCGAGACACTCAGTGGCAGCTCCAGTCACCACACAGCACTCTGTGGTGACGGGGACAGGGTGGGGGCAGCCAGAGCCTGTCCAGCCAACAGCCCCCCAGGAGACTTGGAGCCTGTGATTCCCACACCAACCACACCCCTGCTCTGCCATCCGTGCGGCTGGTGCCTGGTACCAAGTGGACCTGCAGAGCCACATCTGTCCCTCTGTCTGTCAACCACAGCCGGTACCCAGCAATTCAGGAGGCCTAGTGGGCGAGGGAGGCTGGGGAAAGGCCAGGAGGGAGGGAGGAGGAGTCGGCCACAGAGAATAGGGGGCCTGCAGGCAGCTGGGGTGCCCCAGAACAAATGCAGGCCACAGAGAATAAGGGGCCTGCAGGTGGCTGGGGCACCCCAGAACAAATGCATTTGCCTCAGGCCTTTGCCCCATTACTCTAGTTCTGAGAACCTGCTCTACTAAAGGAGGTGATTCTGAACTGGGAGACAGGCTCTTTGTGCTCCAGGATATTCACTGCAGTGTTACTTACAGAGGCTAAGGAGGAAAGGGGAGGGCAGAGGGCAGGCAGCAGGGAGAGGAAGGAGGTGGGGGAGAGGGCAGGGGCAGGGGAGAGGGAAAGGAAGGCCCCACTTTTTATATATATACATTTTTAGAGCGGCTTTAGGTTCACAGCAAAATTAGAGGAAGCTTACAAAAACTTCCCGTATGTCCTCGCCCCACCCCAGTCTCCCCCATTATCAACAGCCCCCACCAGGGGGTACAGCTGTTCCGCTGGATGAAGCCACACTGACATGTCATTATCACCTGAGTCCACAGATTTTGGGTTTTTTTTTTTTCTTTTTGAGACAGGGCCTCACTCTGTCACTAGGCAGTGCAGTGGCACAATCACAGCTCACTGCAGTCTTGAACTCCTGGGCTCAAGGGATCCTCCTGCTTTAGATTGTCAAGTAGCTGGGATTACAGGCGCGCGCCATCACACCCGGCCAATTTTTGTATTTTTAGTAGAGACAGGGTTTCGCCATGTTGTCCAGGCTGGTCTTGAACTCCCGAGCTCAAGTGATCTGCCTGCCTCAGCCTCCCAAAGTGCTGGGATTCCAGTCATGAGCCACCGTGCCTAGTCTCATACTTTGTTTTTTTTTTAATTGGCAAAAAACAAAACAAAAAAAACCTTATTTCCTGGCTCTCCCTTCCAAAGTCCTAGCAGTAAAGAAATCCCAAGAGCAAGCACCACCCCTGGTGACCACATTGGGGTCTCTAAACATCATAGTCACACCGAGGAAGGAGTGCGCCCCGGGGGGATGGTTGGGCCGGTCCGCAGCAGGAAATGCCAGGGAGGGGCTGGAGTCTGCAACATCATGGTGGCTACAAGTAAGGAAGGTGCCCAAGACCCAAGGGTTGTGTCAAAAGACTACAGAAGCCAATCTGAGGCCGCCTCCGGGCAGACAGACAAGCTGGACATGAAAAAGCAAGCCTGCAATGGACAGATCTGAGTTCACCAGGCAGCCCAGGAAACACAGTCTCCGCCCCTTCCTGCCCTGTCACTGGCCTTTGCCAGGGCACTAACTCATTGTTCTGAAGACTGTTAGAGGTGAACACAGGCATTTTCCCTCCTTTTCTGTCCGAGTAGTATTTCAGGGTAATCAAATAGACAATGAGGAAGATTCCTTTATAGAATTCCAGCTACTAAATACAGGGGGAACAATATAGTTCAAAAAATCACCATTTTGCACTCTTAAGGAAGCAGTACAGGCAATGATCAACAGCTGTTCAAAAGCCATTAAATACGCTGGAGGTGGTGGCTCACACCTGTAATCCCAGCACTTTGGAAGGCTGAGGCAGGGGGATGCCTTGAGTCCAGGAGTTTGAGACCAGCCTGGACAATATTAGTGAGACCTCATCGCTACAAAAAATTCAAAAATTATCTGGACATGGTGGTACACAACCTGTAGTTCCAGCTACTCGGGAGGCTGAGGTGGAAGGATCACCTGAGCCCAGGAGGTTGAGGCTGCAGTGAGCCCTGATTGCATCACTGTATTCCAACCTGGGCAACAGAGCAAGACCATCTCAAAAAAAAAAAAAAAACAAAAACAAAACAAAACAAAAAAAAACCACAGAAACCCAAAAACCATTAGATAAAAGACCAACGCATCAGCCTGACACCTAAACCTGCTGGTCAATCCTAGTGTCAACAAAGGGGCCCAGCAGACATCCTGTGCACGCAGACCGATGCAGCTGAGGAAGAGACCTTGAACCTGAATGGGGCTGAACCTCCACCAGTCCCCAGGAAATACAGGGGAGAGAAGCAGGTTCAGCACTACACAGAGGCAACCAGTCGATCCTGAACGGGGCCGTTCTCTAGGACAAATGACTTTATTTCTTCAACAAATACTCGGCACGCACACAGGCTGGGAGGGAGTGCTGCTGCTGCACTCGGGGAGACACAAGTGCCTCGGCCAAGGGCAACACGGGGAGCAGGGTCAGGCAGGCAGGCTCGGTGGGCTCAGGACCCACGAGTTTCACACTGGGAAGCCATGGGACAGCAGGGCCCATTTCCCATGACTTTGTCCAGAAGGTATTCATTTAGAGAAGAACTGAGCCCAGGCCTGGAGTCCTCCCAGCTGCCCTCACCCAACCCGACCACACGTGAGGGGCACAGGCCAGCACTGCCAGCATGAGGTCACTGAATGAAGGAATAAAGTAAGGGACAAAGGGAGCCCAAGCCCCAAGGCAGCAAGAGACTCCCCTGCAGCTCCAACATTCACACTGAGAAACCAAGACTTCTCGGGACACTGGTTTAATAAGGACAATTCCAGAGGGGCCTGGCTGTGGGCAAAGCTGTGTCAAACGGTTGGGATCCAGAGCCAAGGGCACTTCTTGCCACCTGAGACCATGGGCCAGGCTCCCCACACTATCTCCACCGCCATAGTCATGAGAGCCAAGTGAGACTGGCCTGTGGCCTGGGGCCCCGCAGCTGCCCAGCTCCACCTCCGGCATTTACTGGTCTCATCCTGAGAGGCATTGGGTGCCCACTCACTGGCTGGATGCTGGGCTGGTTCATGGGTGGTGGAGCCAGGGCATACCCTTTGGGGATGTCCCTAAGCCCTCAGGACAAGAGGCAGCACCAAGCAGCACGTCATAGCCAGTGCTTGGGTCAGCTGCACCCTCTGCTGGGACTCCAGCTCTCCTCAGAGGGCCTCCTAGGGCCATTCCGGGCACTGGGGGTGGCAATGGGGAGCCCTGGCTGCCTCATTAGACTGGACACCAGTCTGGCCGGGTCAGGAAGGCCCAGCCTTGGGCCCTGTCACACGTAGTCCAGAATCTCTGTCTCCATCTCGTTCTCACTGCCGTCGGATGGCTTGAAGTCCTCCTCCTCCTCTTCCTCCTCCTCATCCTCCTCCTCATCTTCCCCAGACTCGTACGTCAGCTGCCCTTTCCCGCCGTCAGCCTTGGCTGAGCTGGAAAAGAGAGCTGGGGCCGGAGGAGACGAGGCCATGGGTGTCCCATGCAGGCTGCTGGGTGGCCCCAGAAAGGCCACCAGGCTCTGGGGAGCCTGTTTACTAATAAGGGTCCGAGCTTGAGCTCTGAAGAAGCTGGTGGGTAAGTATGGGGTGGAGATCCCCCGGGAAGGTGTAGTTTAACGGGCACCCAGGGGAATACTGCAGCAGGGGAGCCACGAGCAGCTTCAAGGGCCCAGGGACCCTCAAGAGTGAACACGCCATTTTCTCTGGGAAAGGGTCCACACTCTTGATTAGATTCCCAAAGGGGGCTGAATCTGGATTCCAAGCAAGACTAAGAACCCCTGCTTCAGTCAGATCTGTGTGGCATGGCTGGGTCCAGGATGCCCCATCCCCCAGCCTGGGAGGAGTCCCCTGAGAGAGGAGGCGTCTTATGACTCTCCCCAGCCTTGTCAGATCCACTGCCTGGCAGGTGCTGCCCCCTTCACTTCCCCTGCAGCTGGCCCTCGCTCCTGCCAGGGTTGCCTGGTTCCAGGAAGGAGCTGGGCTCCGTAGAACAGGAAGAAGACAGAGGCAGAGCCTGCACTCGCAGGGCTGAAAGACGTGGGCTGGTGTGAGGGCGTCAGGTGGAGGCCCCAGTGGCAGTGCCGGGCTGCTGCACCCGTCCCCTCTGGGCTTCCCTCCTGCCCCAGACCCCAGCGCCGAGGGCCTTGGCTCAGGAAGCCTCTGTGGGCAGCTAGGGTGATGCCGGCTCCTGGGCTGGGCTCTGGCTCACGATGCCCCCCTCCCACCAGGGCCAGGGGCAAGATGATGCCACCTAGGTGCCATTTCTCAGGAATGGGTCCCCTTAGGGAGACCTCTGTCTCCAAGGGGATCCCCAGGCATCCTGGGCCCCCTTTACCCCAAGCGGCTCTCACCAGGCCTCTTGGAGCGGATGGTCTGCCGGATCATGAGGGACATGGTGTCCCTGAGCTCGTCGCTGGTCTTGGGGAGGCACCACCCATCCCGTTCGGTGCAGGAATTCTCAGCCCCGTCATTGCGGTGAATGATCTTCTGCAACCTGGGGGTGGGGACAGGGGTGGGACATAAAGTCCCAGGGTGGGTCTCTGCTAAGAGATGCCGGTGTTGGCTTTTACCGGAGGCAGAGCTGTACTGAGAAAGGCAGCCCCGTGAGTGAAGTCTACAGAGAGGAACTGGAAACACGAGCTGTGTGCTCCCAGCTGGGGCCCGAAACCTGTGTGCTCCCCGGACCCCCTCACACACGTGAAGCTGGCCGTGTACCCCTGCATGTGCTTCTGGTGACCCATGGCTTTCAACAGATTTCAAGATGTATTTGACGTGTTCCCATCTCCATCTCCTCCCATCCCAGTGCCCTTTCCCTGCAATTCTTTTTTTTTTTTTTTTTTTTTTGAGACAGAGTCTCGCTCTGTCACCCAGGCTGGAGTGCAGTGGTGCCATCTCGGCTCACTGCAAGCTCCGCCCCCCGGGTTCACGCCATTCTCCTGCCTCAGCCTCCCACATAGCTGGGACTATAAGCGCCCGCCACCACACCTGGCTAATTTTTTGTATTTTTAGTAGAGACGGGGTTTCACCCTGTTAGCCAGGGTGGTCTCGATCTCCTGGCCTCGTGATCTGCCTGCCTCAGCCTCCCAAAGTGCTGGGATTCCAGGTGTGAGCCACCGCGCCCGGCCCCCTGCAATTCTTTAAACATCACTGAGAACAAGTCGATAAAAGGTTTCTGGGGTCTGATGGGTCCTGGGATTGAGAACCACTCGTGGGGCCTTCATGTGGACAGTGGAAGACGGGCAAGGACATAACAGCAAGAACTGTCTCTGCCCAGTTTGGAGCCGAGGCTTTCTACAGGGCACTGCCTCTGCGAGGACCGCCAGCACGCCAGGGCTCTCAGCAGCACCGAACTCCCAGACAGGCGAGTGTTCTTGCGGGAGATGACGGCCGACGTGAAGTGGAAGAGCTGCAGAGAGCACTTTGGTCCCTGGGTCCCACGGGTCCCCCTCAGTGTCTCAGGGCCCCTCCCATACGTACTCTTCCACATTCAAGTCGCATAACTGGTAGAACATCTGCCGATAGGGTGGCAGGGCCCCTTCCCGGAAGATGTAGACGGAGTCCTGGTGAAAAAGGGGGAGAGAGACAGGGAAGGTTAGCCGGAGCCCTGGGAGGCTGCCAGTGTTAGAGACTCCATGTAGGCTCCCATGGGGTCTCTCCAGGGAGCTGACTGGTCACCAGGACCAGGTTGGCAGACAGGCTGGAAGGCCAGGGAGCAGCTGGGGAAAAAACAAGGTCTAACTCCTCGGGATGCTCTAGGAGAGGCAGAGGAGCACCCAGGCCCTTCCGGGGCCACTGGAAACGGCGAGCCCGCCTGTGCAGCAGGCCATGGCGCCCACGGCATGGGGCCAGCACTAGCCTTGTGCCGGGCTC